CTCCCAGTTCTCTATCATCTGTGAGCTTCGTATTCCCCCCCAGTCATGCACCCAATGATTTATGAAGACATTGAAGAGCACAGAGCCTAAGGTAGAGCCCTGTGGAACCCAACTAGTGACAGGTCAGCACTCTGATGTCACCCCATTCACTGTAACCCTCTGTGCCTGACCCGTGAGCCAGCTGCTCTCCCATCCCATGATGTGTTTGTTTATCCAGCTGCACGCTGGACATTTTGTCCAGCAGGACACTGTGAGAGACAGTACCAAAACTTCACTGAAATACAAGAAGACCATATCAACTGGCTTCCCCTGATGAGCTAGGTGGATTACTTTGTCATAAGCATGCATTCTCATAAAAAAGTCATGTCTGATTTCACTGGTATTCATCATAAAGTTTACATATTTGCACAAATGGGACTTTGCTCCTTTTAACTCTACCTATCAAAATTTTAGGTACCTGACCTACACATTTTCAACACAACTTCAAAGTGTTTTTTTTATATTTGAAATCATTAAACAATGAGTTCTGTAAATACATCCATTTAATCTCTTGGACTTCACCTCAAATTCTGCTTTGATCACAAATGTAAGAGAGTCTAGTGATCTCATCCTTGTGCCTAGAAAGAATGCCCATTAGAAAAATCATTACACATTCTGACTGTCATCTCAAAAGAAGAATAAGACATGAATAGCAGGAAATGTGTCAGCCAGGAATGAGAGATACTGACAGACCAACGATATTTAGACTGACTCCAGCTAACAACACAAACATCAATTTCAGAAGCATGAAGCTTGACTGCGAACGTATTATAAATAATGAAACGGATAAAGGAACAACTTTCGTCTAAATGTTTAACTGCACAGGATTTTTAAGCTTCAGCTTGGCACTCAAACACTAGCAAAGGCATGTGTAAATGTAAGCAATACCAATAAGATGGATTCCATGACAGATGCCATCACCTGCATATGTCTGTGAACAAGTTTTAATGACAGAAAATAATTTCAGCTCTGCAATAATGGTAGATAGAAACTCCAAAGCTGTAACATTTTTCCTAAAGTGCATTTTTCCTAAAAATACCCTGGTCCGCATATTAATTTTAAAAAACCCCAAATGTCTTTGTCTTTTCTCCCAAATAAACACACCTTAAGGAAAATCTTTGAGAGAAGCCTCTTTTTCTAGGGACACCATTTATGGGATTTTCCCCCATATAAACTGCCTGAATCAACACTCTCCAGAATATATGATTTCAAAAGTTTGAAAATAAAACAAACTTCTCCACTGCACCTTTTTGGTTAAAAAAAAAGTTAATCCAATTGAAGACAACAGTTCACATACCTTCAGCATGTACATACGAATTGAAAATTTTCCATTAGAAGATTAAATCACAGGCAATTTTATTAAAGAATTCTTTAAAAACCCAACAAAAATCAATGTTTTGTCTACTCTGCAATGCAGAATGGTTTGGACAAGCATTAGTACTATTTGCTCATTACAAAATGTTTTCTCTTGTAACAGGATTCTGTGAACTATTAGAAAATTTTGCTAAGCATGTAAACAATGTTTCAATTTTCACTTGCAGAACACATATTTCCAAAAATCCTGATTCACAAAGTACTACTAACCCAGCCCTCACATACGGTTGTACATAGAAAGAAGAGACAGCCCTGTATATTTAAACTGAGTCCAGTTCCAAAAAACAGAGCTACATCTACCCATATACAGATCTCCCAGTATTTATTTCAAAAAGCTCCCAAGATTACTTAGGAAAACTTGGATGAATATAGTATTAAGTGCTTTAGTAGTAAGAGCAATGGAAAAAAAGTACCATAGGTTACTTTAGACCAACTAAAAGTCTCCATAAAATCCATAGTTATTTATAAAGAAACTGTTCAGCACAGCTAGCTTTATGTTCTAATTTTACAGCTTTTCTTTCAACAGAGTTTTCTGTTGGCCGTGGTCCTATAATCAAGATTTAGACACTAAACAACTCTCTGAGACTAGAGAACATTAATTTTTTATTGGAATCGTGGAATTGCTATAGGGTGAACATGGAGCTTGCTTTCTCATATCATCAAATGGAGGGGAGGGAAGTATGAAAAGTGACCCTGGGCGCTGAGTTGCCCCCTCTGCTCCTAAGCTCTAGAACAAAACAGAACTAGTGCAGCAAATTTAACCAATACCAGCAACTACTAGGTGATTAGAGAAAGGTAGAAATGTACAGATATCTCAAAGAGGGGCCATGAGCTGCACTCCACAAAACTTCCTAGTTTTATATCCTAGAACCAGTAATATGTCTCAAGGGTATTGGGTATGGAAAGACTAAAGTGCCTACAACCTCCCCCTCCCTCAGATCACCAGGTGAAACTTTCATTCGCAGAAGTATTTTTATTTTCAAGCTGTTTGGCTGAGATTTTCTACCCATTACTTTAGTAAGCAACTGTTGCTCAGAGTGCATCCTTCTTCTTTCTAGGGTTAGACAGCAGGATGAAACTCTATTTATCAACTCCTTAATATCCTGAAGCATATTAAGGAGTTGATAAATACGAGTTAAGGATCCTGAAGCTTTTAATCCTTCTTCCTAACTTTAGGAAACTTGGAGATTTAATAACATTTCATGGCATTTCATCAAACACTCGTCAGAAAGATTAAAAAAAAAATCTGTAAATGCTTTTGTAAAGCTTTATTTTCACCAAACATGAAACATACCGAAAAAATATGATAGGATCCTTTCAGATGCCTGGGAAAAATTGCATAATAAAAATTAAGAAGCAACAAGTTCCCCATCACAAGAGAAAAAGCAGTGGTCTTGGACAAAAATGTTTCATAACACATTAGAGCACAACAGGACCAAGTGTTGTGCTCTAAGACTCTTCCTCTAAAAGCATAGTTTAAGAAATCTTGTGCAGCTGTACAGTCATAGATAAGAAGCCAAACAAACCATCACTCTTAACCACTCTAGCAGACTGGCCATCATTCATGATTCTCACACTTTACCATTTCCCTTGCCTAAAAAACAAATCCCTCTTTCATACAAGACTGATATTTCTTTTCCTGATTTCTATCTTCACAAAAACATCCTGCAGAGTGCCTTAATAATCCTAGCAGATTCTTGTACTTCAAAGTCAAGTGAATTTGATACTTAAACATTTCTTTCATGGCCTGCAAGATTAGAGATGCCCTTTTCTAAAGATTCTCCTTTCAACAGACTCCTTTTTCCTCCAGTGCTTTTCAAAACTGCTGGAGCCAGTTCTATTAACAAGTTCTTTTTGTTACAGCTTCCTCTGATAACTTGTCTTCTCCATAACCCCATGTGGACTTCAGAATAATTCTTATTCTGAAGAAATTATATGCACATGCCATCTTTTGCCTAAAATAAACTTTCACTGTAAGAAAAAAATCTTTATCTTTCAAATACCATGTGCAGACATTATTAGAGTAGGGGAATTCCTGTTGGTAGCCTGCCACTATCAATAATGCATGTATAGAAGTCACTAACATTGTAAAAACCAGGTTTGTTATCACTGATCTTTCCCTCTATATTACTTCATCATGAGTCCAGGCAAAGGTTTGTCAAAAATTTAACTATTCAATTACATGGGTTTAGTGTTTAGGACAATAGGAAACTAATACTCATACTTCAAGAACTCTTACACAGAAACAGAGCAGTCACTTTGTAAATGTCCAGGTATAAAGCGTGCAAGCCCAGGTTCAAAAACATAAAGGCAAAATCTTTTCTTTCTTCTCCTTACTGCACATTCATTAGTTGGAAATATCATTACTAAGTGGAGCACTAAGAATCTATGTCAAGCATTATCTTCTAGATACCCTTGACTGCAAGGTTTCAAGAATGTCAAACTTCTATTTTCTTACCTAGTTCAGTAACCTGTCGATCAAAAGGACAACGAACTGCTCTGCCATGAAGGGGAAGCCGGGTAAGACAGTCATGGCAGACAGTGTGGCCACACAGAAGCAGCCGGGGAACTTTGTCCCCTTGCAGCGAAAATACATCTTCACAGACCCCACACTCAAGAACCTGTAAGTTAAAAAAGACCATTTTTGGTTTTAAGCTAATTAGAAGGAAACTATAGCACAATTTTTTTTCACAGAGGTTCCTGCAATCACAGTACATAAGCTGAGTCAGTAATTTTGCTTTATGTGCACACATATAACGATCATACTATCGATTTTTAAAAAGTAAATAAAAAATCAGACACAAACAGAACATTTTAACTCCTCAGCATCCTGCCTGACCACCACTAGTTCCTACGCACTTCATTTAATACGCTGCCACAGTAAGCCTACTGGTCAAGCGGCACAACCAAGAAACATCCTGGCAGGAAAAGGAAGCGGCCAGCAAGCCCCTGGCAGAGCAGAGTGCTGGCGGGCGGAGCTCCCCCTCGCAGCTGATGCTCATAAAGAGGTCAGTCATACCAAGTGAGCCAGCTAGCAAGCTACAAGCGCAGCACCGAGCTAGTGCGAGCAAACACTTGAGGGCCGGAACATCTCTAACTATAAACAAAAAGCAAAACTGATGGTCGTACAGAAAGAAAAAAGAAACACCACAACCAATCCACAAGCCCGGCACCCCCAGGGGCATATGCTGTACCACAGGCCTCCCGCGCCGCGTCCTGGGCGGGCACAGCCCGCCCCGCCACAGGAGCTGGGCCGAGCCGCCGCCTCACCTTCACCGCAGCGCCCGCCGGGCCGCGACCGCCGCCGCCAAGCCCGCGGCCACTCTCCGGCCCGGCCTTGTTTACAGCCAGGGCCGCCATCTCGGGAAGGGCGGAGCGGAGCGGCCCCGCAGGAAGCAGCGCAGAGCTGCCGCCACCTCAGGCACCACCCCGGCGGGCGCAGGCGCCGCCCTGCCGAACTGCAAAACTGCAGTAACGTAAAACTACGACTCCCAGCGTGCCCCACAGGAGCACTGGCGCGCGGGGCAGGTGGTGGTGCGGCGCCCGGGCCGCCCTGGGAACCCTGGGGGCTGTAGTCCCTCCCGCCGCGCTGCAGCCTGGGACGGCTGTGCCCGCTGCCGCCGCAGTCTGCGTGGCTCCTCGCGCTCCGCCGGCCATCCCGCGGGGTGAAGGCCATGGACGTCAACCAGCCCAAGCAGGAACATTTGCTGGCTCTGAAAGGTACCAACAGCGCGGCCCTACCGGTTCCCGCCCGCCCGGTCCCGATTCGGTGGTGAAACAGCGTGTGTGATCCGCAGCCGAGGGTGGTTCTCCCTCCGGGTTAGAAGGAGCTGGAGCAGGGAGCGGCCCGGCGCTCGGGGCCCGCGGCGCTCGGGGCCCGGAGGCGTCAGGGAGCGCTGAGGGCTGCTCGGCCGAGCCGCGCACGGCACAGGGTGTGCACCTGGCGTGAGGGGCTCAGCGCGGCTGCCCGGCTGTGTCAGTGCTTTGCATAAGGCTTCAAAGAAAATGTTCAGCTATAGTTTCCTCTCCAGTTCTCCTGCTACCTCTTGTTTGTTAGTTTTTCAGGACGAGAGGACACAATCTTAAACTGCGACAAGGGAGGTTTAGGTTGTGCTTTAGGAGGGACTCCTTCCCAGGAAGGGTGATTAGACACTGGCATGGGCTGCTCAGGGAGGTAGTGGAGTCACCGTCCCGGAAAGTATTTAAGGAGAGGCTGGATGTGGCACTTGATGCCGAAGTCTGTGTAACAAGGTGGTGTTCCGTTTTGCGTTGGATTCCATGATCTCAGGCGTCTTTTCCAACACAGATGATTTCCCTTAGGATGGCTTTCCCCTTTTCACCTCATCCTTAACGTGCAATTACGAGGCTTACCTCTTTGATTCAGGCATCACAGAGTGAAAATACAGTTGTGTAGGGTAGATCACTTGCATGCCTCCAAAATTAAAGACAGCCCTGTGAATAATTTGATCATTTCTGAATCATAAATGCTGGTGGTTATGCACATGTAATGAAGAGCTGATTAGAATCTTACCTCTGCAAGCATTCTAGATCAGTGAGAATGCCCAGGTGGATAAAGTAGTGCAGGTATGAGTAATTTCAGGGACCATATTCTCGTTTTAAAACTCTCCTGGACAAAGTTTTTAATGGTGTCTCTGTGTGCTGGTAAAATCTGTTAACCATAATTCAAAGCTCAACAAGCTCTTTTCAAATACGTGTACATACACGTACACAATAAGGGCAAAAACATGAAAATGTGAAAGGTCGGCAGCTGTGAAATGTGTTTTGCTAGTAATTAATTCAAAGTAAAAAGCTTTATGGTGGATCATTTTGCATTTATAAGAAACCAGTGCAATCCTTGGTTTTGTATTGAATTTAATCCAGGTTGTATTTCTTGTAGAAGTGGAGAAGGTATGGGGATTTATTTGCCTTGTGACTCTATTAAACAAAATCTTGATAGTGGCAATCCTAGCTTTTATTATTTTGATGTCATGTATGTTACTACTCTCCATTAGGGAGTGTGAAATGATTGGAAGTTTTTTGTGGGTGCAGGGGGAAAGGGGAAGAAAGGTAGGAAATAGGAGAGCAACACTGTGCATATGTTTCATAATAGTGTAGCTGTCTCTTCACCATTCTTCTGAATTTAATATAATCTTTGTATGAAATATAAAACCTTTGACAACTTAATAAGTTGCTTAGTTATTTCAAAAGTCTAATAAATTCAGAAATTATCAGTTCCTTAAGGATTAAAGCATATTTGCTTGTAATGCTTGGAAGCTTTGAGGCTAAAACTAGATGTGTAGTTCTGATACAAAATGGAAGCGGGCAGCTGTAATTTGCCTAGAGCACTTCCCTTTTAACTTTTCACTTTAAGAATTACTGTATCAGTCTGTAATATTTTGGGAAGGGTTTCTGTAACTTATGTGTTTTCTAGTTACTTTATGTGCCTCAGCTAAAAGTGCTGATATATAGGAGTAAAACGCTTAAAAAAATTGTCTGCTTAGTTTGAGAAAATAGGCAGAAGTAATTGTGTTTCTTTTGATATGCATCACGACAATATAACCAGAATAGTGGTGGATGGCAAGTATGAGATGGGAACAGTAAAAGAGTTCTCTTGGAAAAGGACTGTTTTGAGTAAGCAGTGTGCATGTGAATAATGTTCAGTGTTCTGAAGTTACACTGGTAATGATGGAATACAGCTGCTAACGTTCAGCCTAGATAAAATAGAATGTTCTGATATATATCTCATGTATTTTTACTACCTGTTTCTTTTTTGAAAAATATCCTAGCAACGTTTGTCTTAATATGGTAGTATCTCATTGTTTTATAATACTTCTGCTTTAGGTCCTGCTTTCCACTGATCTATGCATCATGGGGCAAGGAAATTCTTGTAAATAAGATGTTTCAGTCTAGATACAAGAGTCATTATCAAGAGACTGTTTTCCTAAGAATCACTGGATTCCTACTGTTCAAGCATGGAAGTGGTCTTGCACTATCGACCACATCAGAGAGATTTATTAAAACTTCAGAAATTTGCAGAAGCAGCAGTGAAGGAGTTTCCCATTCGCCAATTACCAAGATTTGTGCCCTGGTTTCCAAATGATTTACACAGACTTCCCCTCAAACCAAAAAAGCAGGCACCTGTTATTTCTTGTGAGGAAGTGGAAGAACTGAAAGAGCTTTCTACACCTTCAGAATATGTTACAGGATCTACTGATTATGACTGCACAAAAAATCTCCTTGAGTTTCACTCTAGCATGAAACATGGTCCGACTTTAATCCAAGCACAGATTGTTCACAAACCAATTAACTTGGACTGTCAAGGAGAACCACCAGCTAATGGAAAACAAAAATTGAAAAGGTCTTGGAGTGTCTCTCTCCCTAGAGCTAAACTCAGAGAAAAGATTCATCCTCTATCTCAAGAACTGCAGAATAATTTGGAAAGACTAAAACTGCATGCATTTTGTAGAGCCAAGTGGACAATTGAACAGTCTCTTTGTAAAAACCAGAATTTGGAGGACATATGGATAAAATTGAATAAACTGATTAAACAGAATGAATTGCCATCTTGCAACGCTACTATCCAAAGATCTGTGGGACAGATATGGATTTTCTGTGATATATTATACTGTGAATATGTTAGAAATATTCTTAGGGAAAAGCTAAGCCTTACAGATAAAATGAATTTGCTTGTACATAAATATGGAATTATATTTAGTTTATAACTTCAGATATAGTTTAATAATAACATTGCTGTCAGAAATACTAAAAGTTTTTAAGCACTTCAGAATAGATAGACTTTAGAACAACTGATAAATTAAGAGTGAGAAAACTACTTATTTTACTTTGCTATAGGCTTTGGTTTTCTAACTATAATGATATATTTCTTTAACTTTGTTTTGCCTCAAGACTTATAGTTCTGTTAAGATTAGTAAGTTTCCATTTGGCTTAGTACTGTGTTTTATAGCTTTTCTCTACCTTGGTGGTCTAAAGGGAAAAATTAAAATAAAAATTCCAGACTATTGTGGCAAGGTATGTCAGATAATAAAATTAATGCTTTCAATTAAGCAAAGTACATCCTCTCTGCTTCACTGGAATTAGGAGAAGGAAAGATGTTTTTAAGTGTGTTGTAATAATTGCTATAATAGCTGTAACTGACATTAAGATTTCCAAGATCTGATTATTTCCTGAAAGTAGTCTGTGAGTTTTTTTAATGATGGCATATTCCTCCCATGAAGTACAAACTTAATTTATGTGGGATATATGCACTGTCTTAGTAATGTTAGCTATATTTTCATGGAAGTATTAATGATAGCTTCAGTGGAAGCTGTGGGTTGAAAAATAATCAAGTTAATAATTGCTGTTTTATGCCTTTGATAATTTATTTTCCTGATGTTTCTGTTCTTTTGTCTTTAATTATATTTGGGAACAAGAAAACAGTAGTTTCCAGGTAAAAGTGAGGAAATTAGGAAACGAGAACATCTATTTGAAACCTCTTCTTGTCTTTGAGAATTTTAATTCCTTTTATGGTCGTAAAAGGCAGAGTTCAGGATGACTTTTTGTCTCCTAAAAGAATGAAGTGTTCCAAGGTCATGCTGTCCCTGCTCGTTGAAACTTTGGAGGGTCAGTAGAGAAGTTAAACTGGGATCAATGTGACTGCAAGGTTTTTGCATTTGAACTCCTACTAATTCTAGATAGTTTTGATGTAGCTGGTGGTCAAGGCCTGTAGCATCTGGAAAAGGGGGAAAACAGTATTTGTAGTTTATTAGATTGTCATTAATGCTGCTCACACCAAAATGTACCTAAGCATAACAGAGATCCCTCTGTAAAAAAAAAGTGAATTACCCTCAGACTTAACAGTCTTATAACATCCTTGTGTTACATAATTATATTTTATTATAGGCATTACAATTTTTTAGATAAAAATTTCTCCATTTGAGTGACTGACATGTATTTTTAAACTTTGACTGAATTTTAAGACATTTGTAGATGTCTTACATTTATGTTTGGGGCGTTTGTCACATTTAATATGATGACTTAACAAAATTGATGCAAAATGCTGTCTAGACTGTATTATAACTGCAGTACAACTGATGGTTGTTATTAGTTTTAAAGTCTCTCTAGCCAAATTTTTCACTGACATTATATTTCTGAGCTCAACATTAATAGTAACAAAATTTCTTCGTGCATCAGTATTTTTGAAGATAAAATGAAGTAAAATGCAGCATGATTGGAGTTCTATTTAATGTATTTTGTATCGAGGATCTTGGAAGAAATGATACATTTTCTAACAGTAATTTAGTACTTCTAATAAATGTGATAATAATACCTGTCATAGGTTGTTTTGACTTCATTCTGTGACGTATTTGTTTATTTTCTGAAAAGTGACTTAACTTTTTTTTAGAAACAGCAAATACTAGTTATATAGGCATTTGCTATACAGGCAGTGTGAACTTGAATAAAATTGGATAATGCCAATAATACAGTCCTGCTAGATTAATTTGATATACTGACAAAAGAGCTAAGCATTTTACTAAACAGAAGGAGAGATTGTTGCCACTGTAGCTGCCAGCTTTGTGCTGCTTTGGGTTGGCTTGTATGTGAGTAATGGTAGACGCACTGCTAGCTGTGAGCCCCTCAGCTGGTAACTGAGGTCTTGTAAGAGTGAGCGCCATGCTTCTCTGCAGAATTACTACACTCTTGTAGTAATTCTGCAGAGAATTACTACAGTCTTGCTTGGTTAGCACTGGTATACAAGCTGAAATCCAGGCCTTAATTTTTTTGTCTTTGAGGAATGCTTAATTCATAAGCATGTGGCATTCAGTATCTTTTCTTTTTAATTTCCAATGTTGAATGTGGTTCACTATTTACTCTATTTTATATATCTTGGGTTTTGTTTAATAAACCTCATGGTTCTAAGTCTTCAAAGGTCACCATAACAAAGAGAATATATTCTCTTTTTTTCTTGTGAAAAGTGAGAATTCTTTTGGTCAGTGCCAATTTGCATGGGTCTGCTGTATGGTAGCATAAGTTCTTGTGAACCAATACGGCCCACTGTACCCAAATATCCATCCAAGTTGTTGAATACTTTACACCACTGGGAACAGTGAATGCTGTCTGGACACAGTAGCTGTACAAAAGTACAATAAAAATAAACCCACCATACCTGTGTCAGTGCAAAGGTATTGATTAACTTGTTGCAATCAAGAGAAATCCTTTTGGTTTATTTTTTAGTTTTTGTTGGTGTTATGTTTGTTAAGTTTCAAAGAAAAAAGCCCTGACAGTTATTACATATTCAGATTAACACCTAAGATTACAAATGCTCAATTTTGTTTCATATGAATGCCTTCATGATAAGCTATATGTAAGTTTAGGGCCTTTGGTTAATTTGAAGAGGAAGAAATTCTTTTAAGTAGTAGCATTATTTTCACTTAAATCTGTCATTTAAATGAAAATAATTTAATTTTGAGTGTGAGTTAAAATAGCCTTTGAAAATACCACTTACTCGAAGTAGTGTTTTTTAATAGGAAAATCTTAATTATTTTGATTTTGCCAGTATCAATAAAATAGCTTTGTTGTATTTTTATGAGGTTATTGTGTTGATTTTACTGGTTTGAGTTTAAAGTTTGTGACTTAGAGAAAAAGCAGTGGTATAGTGTAGGCTTTTAGTCTTGTAACTCTGCCTTGTGTAAGTGTTATAGGTTAAGACATAAGTGCAATTTCTAGTAGACTGGTATTTGACTGAAAGGGTCCGTATGAGTTATCATGTCCCATTCTAGGGCAACAAGGATCACAGGACAGGCACTTAAGCTGGAAAAGTCTACAAACAAATGAAACGGACACACTTCTGAAGACCACAAAGCACTCTAATGCTGTAGCAGGTGTAAGATTTCTAACACATCAGATTGAAAACAGTAGATGAGTAGGTTAGTTCACCAGGATAGAAAGCAAGAGGAAGCAGTGGCATTCTTGGATCTTAGAACAGCATGGAAGTTTTGTTTTTTTTATTGCGAAAGGCCATGTGATCCTTTTTCAAGCTGAGACTTATTTGGTGGTTGTGGTCTGTTGGGTGGTTTTGGTTTTTCTTGTGGAAGTTGAAAAACAAAATTAAAAATAGTTGTTTGATCGACCAATATTTTTTTGAGTTTATTTTTTTTATCTTTGCAGTGATGAGGCTAACCAAACCTACCTTGTTCACTAATATTCCGGTGACATGTGAAGAAAGAGATTTGCCAGGTAAGTCTTTTCTAATGACTGGTTATTATGTATGTTTTACCAAGTTTAAGCAGTGTGACCATCTAATACTTAGAGGAGTCATGATGTCCCATAAACTCTTACATGAAATGACAATATACTTAAGATGTGGTAATAGCTAAAGGACAGTACCAAGGTGCATTCTATAGCTCTTGACCTGTATCTCTGGGAGATTGATAATGATACTCAAACACATGACCTCAAAATTTGAGCAGTTGACATACACAGTGAGATGCAGTTCTGTGCAGGCAGTGTGTAAGTGGAGAAAGATTGGCATTTTAATATATTTTTTTAATTTGGAGAAAAGGCCCTGGTAGGTAGAACCAACACATGAATGTTCTGTGGGAAAACAATCTTGCAAGAATCACTGGTTTTGAGATGCATTATGCTTAGTGTGCTGTCATGAATTGGAAACCCCTGGGCTGTCTCCCAGAAATAGCTGAAGTCTTAAAGTCAAGTCAAAGGAAAGATTGAAGAAGGAGGGTTGTGTGGAAATACAAAGCAAGCAGGGGAAGAAAGTAAGTGAGGTTGATTACTTCTATTATGTAATATGGTTTAGATGGACAGAATTTCTCTCAAAATTCAGTGTTAATTTGAGCAATGCCTTTTGGATTGTGCACTTCAGTATGTACCTACTGAGTAAATTATTGGACACAAGTGTCTTGAAGTTAAGTCATAACTTATAGGCAGTGTTATATATTTCATCCTTAAACAAGTTTATTGTAAAAAAATTGTATCTAAAATAAACTACATTTGAGTAAGTGATTACGTGCCTAACTTAAATGTATACAAAACTTTGGACTTAACAAGTATTTTGTTAATAGGAACTTGATATTTTTACAGGTAATCTATTTAACCAGCTCATGAAAGATGATCCATCTACTGTAAAGGGGGCTGAAACTTTGATGTTAGGAGAAATGCTGACTTTGCCTCAAAATTTTGGGTAAGAATAAATTATTGTAGCTGTAATATGCAAGGTTTAGGACTCATACTTCTCCTTCTCTTTGTATACCATTGTTCTGCAACGAGATGTTCAGTCATTTAAAAAATATGTGGCTTGATTTATAAATATATGTGTGCTGCCTGATGTTTCTTGTCTGTAGCCTAACTGAACCTAATGAGCATTGAAAGTTGAAAGAGATTTGCAGCTGTGGGTGAATTTCTAAGATAATGCACTATAAATCACATGTTATACTAACAGAGTTTATTACTGTGATTTTTGTGGGTACTGAAAGCCATCTTCTTATTCCTGTCAGACTGTTAGCTAGAAAAAATTCTGATTTGTTTGTTGTCTTTTAAAACTGTTTGTCTTAGAAGAATGATTTCAGAAGTATGGGTGCACAAATTCCAATTTTCTACTATGGTTTGATCTGGCAAATGTGCATGTGTATGAACTTAAAAATGTTTCAGTGAAATATTCTGGTTTTTAATAACTGTTACTAAAATTTTTTTCTTTTTTTTTTTCCTGAAATACAGAAATATATTCCTGGGAGAGACATTTTCCAGTTACATTAGTGTGCACAATGATAGCAATCAAGTTGTTAAGGACATACTGGTAAAGGTATGGTAAAGGAAAATCCACTTATAAAAGATATATAAAAAAATAAACACAGTTACTATATTTTCTGACAGTATATTGTATGTTTAATGCTAATGCATAGACTTTAGGAAATATATGTCCTTTTTTCCAATCCAGAAACTATACCTGGAAATTGGAAAGAGTAAGAATAGAATTATTATAATTATAATTATTATAATTCTATAACAATTGCATAAAAATAGGAATTATTATAGAATTCTTCAAAGATTAAAATAAAAAACTTGGATTGTGTAAAAAAATGGATTTATCACAGAATCATATCGTTTAGGTTGGAAAAGACCTCCTGAGGTCACCAGGTGGAACTGTTAACCCAGCATTGCCAAGTCCACTGCTAAACTGTGTCCCTAAGTTCCACATCTGCATAGTCCCCAGCAGGGATGGCAGCATTGTTTTGGCTGCCTAGGGAAGTGCTCAACCACTTCCCTAGGCAGCCTGTTCAGTGCTTGACAGCCCTTTATTGTGAAACAATTCATAAGAAATTATCCAATCTAAACCTCCCCTGGTGCAACCTGAGGCTATTTCCTCTTGCTCCAATGGTTTGTTGTTATTTCTGAGAAGAGACTAGCTCACACCTGGCTACAGTCTTTTTTACTTAGTTGCAGAGAGCAGTAAAGTCCCTCTCCTGAGCCTTTTTCTCCTGGCTAAACACCCCCACCTCCACTGACCTTCTTTGGACACGCACCCTTCTATTTAAAACTTCTCTGGACAATTGGTGTAGCAAAACTTCCACAGCTGAAAAGCAGAGTTACATTCACTTACATTCACTTTCAGTGAGATTTTCAATTCCCTGTGCAGCATACACTGATCTGTATATTGTATTAATTATTTTCTAGAGAATTGGGGTTTTGTGTTTACTGTACAAATAAAACAGAGTAAAAATTTCAGAAGTCATTGTGGAACTCAATGTAAAAAGTAAATAGAGATTTTGCAAGCTGTATGGTAAAGGATTGGATTATTTATATGTATACAGCTTGTCTTTAGCTTTGTAAGTATCTCATCATCTTAATACATGTCACAGAAGGTGTCTGAGTCAAGAATATCAGAATATTCTGAGTTGGAAGGATCCCACAAGGACGGGTAAGTCCAGCTCTTAAGTCAGTAGCCCACACAAGGATCAAATCCACAGCCTTGGTGTTGTGAGCCCCATGTTTTGACCAACTGAGCTCATACAAAATGTGTGAAAGCACGTAGGGTACAAAATGCTCAGTGAGACCTAGTACTTTATAACATAAGTTACTTTTCTTTAACACAAGTTAAACACTGATAGTTCTAACTGATGCTTTGGTTTTCTGTCCCCAGGCTGATCTTCAGACGAGTTCTCAGCGCTTGAACCTTTCAGCTTCTAGTGCTGCAGTAGCAGAACTTAAACCTGACTGTTGCATTGATGACGTGATCCATCATGAAGTAAAGGAGATAGGAACACACATGTAAAATTTTAACTTCTTCTATTATTAAATGAGCTTAAATGAAACTGGAGTACATGCATGCTATTCGACTTTTGATATAGCACAAGATTTAAAGTAACACAGCTTTTTTTTTAAATTCGGTTTTTCAGCTTAGTTTGTGCAGTAAGTTATACTACACAGACTGGAGAGAAGATGTACTTCAGAAAATTCTTCAAATTTCAGGTATTTTGTGAAGTATTTTACTCTACTTTTAGTAAGTGTAGTGAGTCTGGAAAATGCATTTTAAAACATTCGATACTTCATAAGCACTTTTATGTACCAAAAATCCATTCCCTTTTAAAAGTGAACCATTAAGAGCTACTGCTTCAAACTTCACACAAATGGGTGTTTTCCAATTACACACAGTTAAACATCTCTGAACTAATAAATATAATGTCTAATAATTTTTACTAATTTATTGAGAAAAAAATGTGCTCCTAAAAAGTCCCTTTTTTATAGCAGACAGCTCTTTGACTATTTTTAAACAGAACAGTGCCCAATGGCATTCTGGCTTTGATACATCCAACCACTGAGCTTGTATTGTAAAATTCTGATTTTTCTTTTGGTTTGTGTAACCTTATTAAACTGGAATTAAATAGTTTGGTTTTTAGAGGAATATAAGTAAAGAAGTCTATTGTATTACATCTTTTATATCTTACATAAAGATATATATATATATATATATCTTATATATATATATCTTACATCTTAAACCTTTTCTTCCATCACACAAATTTCAAGAGTTGAGTTAAGAGTGACTGAGGAAAGGAAGAAACTAATCTGTGGGCTGGTTCTGGCAAGAAAGAGTCTGTTTAATGTGTATTTCATGGATATTTAATTTTTTTAGAGAAATATATTGAGACTTGAATATTGGTGGAGTGGAGGATTACATGACATACTTTACTAAATACATTTTTAGATACTCTGACAAAGTGTCTGGTAATATAGCAGCATTATATAGTTTTGTCCTAAAGGTGTTTCAGGGGAGGTTTGGGTTGGATACTAGGAGAAGATTCTTCACCAGAGGGTGGTTAGACACCAGAATAGTCTCCCTAGGGCAGTGGTCACAGTTCAAAGCCTGACAATGTTTTCATGAAGCATTTGGACAATGCTGTCTGGGACATATTCCTGGAGGTTGGACTTGATGTCTTTGTGGTCATCTTCCTACTCAGGATATTCTATGATATTATGGGGAGATTGCATTTTGCTATTTTCTAGTATTCTATCTAGATACTTCAGAAAAAAATTATTTCAGTCTTTAGAAGGTTAAGTTGCCATGCATTAGAAAGAACACTTGAGTGCTTTAGTATTCATGGGCCTTGAAATGCCAGGTATTGATTAGTCAAAGCTGTTTCCTGACAATCCTAGGGAAAATGATTCCATATACATTTTTTGTGTTGCCTTCCCTCTGAAACTAGCATCTCTGTAGAGTTTCTTCATCTTTATTGAAGTTAGTTTTCTCACATCTTTGTGTGCTTTGTCATGCTTTCCTTTCCACTGCTTCCCTCTCCATTTCTCCATTCTTTCCCTCTGTTCAGTGTTCTGTCTCTCTGTCCCCTCTAGGCTTTCTATGATTGCATACACATGCATGTGCAAGCTGCAGATCTCATCTTTTCTGTGTTCCCTAATGTTCTTCTTGTCAGAGCTTTGTACAAGATTTGTGTCCTTTAGATTTTGTTTGCAAACTTATTTATGCAGTTTTTGGTGGTTTTGCTTGCATGTATAATTGCTGTGGTTTTTAACTGAACCCAGCACAGGCAACAGAATTGTTAAAACAGTTGAAGCCAGCTGTTAAATATTAGGCCCTTCATTCAAAGAATGAAGCATAAGTATACATACACTTCCTTATAGTTCTATAAATACTCCTGATTCATTATGAGAAAAGCATTGCGCTGAGAATTTTGGCTGTTAGTTTTTAAATTTAACATGGATACACCAATAGGAAACCTGAGAATGAACAAAAAGGAGTGTTACAGAAAACTGAACTGTGTCTTTACAGTGAAAATTCATAGCTGGTATTGATTGAGATTTTCATAATAAAAAAATACTGTTTTACAGATTCTCAGATTTTTCAGTTATATTTTTTAACATATTTTAAGCTGAACTGGTTTTAGTTGGCTTGAATCAGCTTCTTTTTTAAACTAATATATGTAGTTTTACAGTGATTGATAGTGGCTTTCTGTTCCTAAGCTTTCTCTAAATAATTAACAGCATTGTCTTCATGGATAAGGAATGATTCTTTCTAGGATAGGGTAGTGTTAAACCTCAGAATAATTTTTTGTATTTCACTGGGATACCAATTGAAATTTACTGCAATAAATGGAAAGACTGTTTATCAGAAGAGAGAGAAAAAATTCAGCCTGTTGGAAAATTTATAAGAAGCTCACTGAACAAACAAAGACCTAAATTAATTTTTTTTTTTACTAGAGAAACATAGTTATGAATACTTGAAAGACTTGAACTTCATGCATTTTAAAATGATTAAATCTCTCTGAAGACAAATTTTTGATCTTGAATTCTTCAGTGCTAAAAAGTTTGTTGACAACTTGGAACATTAGAGGTCTTTCAGGATACAGTACACTTATATGCAAACAAAAAAAGTTTCCCTTTGTAATGGGAAATAAGTGTCTGCAGAAACAGAATTTAAATTTGGTTTCTTACAAGTATGATAGAAGATTATTTCTTTCAGTTACATCACTTTATATATGCTTCATATTTAAATGTGTGAAGTGCAATAGCTTCATGCACAAAATTCAAGCATTAAGAACCAACACTTAATCATGAGATGAATATAATTTATTATTTTATGTATTATGGTTTTCTTTAATTTCCTGAAACAGTTGCATTTTCAAGAAGGAAATGAAGGCTAAGAAAGCTGAACAAATGGATAGTTCTCTGCTTCATTTATGTTTAGAGAAGCCCTCAGTAACTTTTGTTACATAACTCTGAAGGACTTGTAAATGTTAGTCAGTTCTTGCTCACAGTTGAAAGTAAATGAAGGATCCAGGATGGATATAGTGTTTTTTTAAACACACAGATCTACTTAGAGCACTGGATTTGGGCAGTTTTGTAAGAGGCCAGTGCTTGGGTGGAGAATTACTTGGTCTCAGTATGAGGAGAATGCTTAATAGGAAAGCAGTCAAGTGTGTATAAGTAAGAAGCAGCTAGGATATGCTCTTGAGTTGATTCTGTCATATATTCTGTCATGGACCTGCTATATGTAAGATCAAAAGAAAAATAACACTTTTTAGTAAGGGACGCTGGTACTTCATAACAGTCTATGCCGAAGTTGTTTGAAAAACCAATTGTCAATCTGTCTTTTTTTCCCTTTCATTCAGGTTCTTAAACCACTAGATGTGAAAACCAAATTCTACAATGCAGAGGTGAGAACTGTGTATATTCAGGTTTGTTTAGGCCTGATGCGTTTGTTACTTAAATTCCAAGTGCTTTGTAAGTGCAGCTTTCTGAGAAAATTGACCAATTCTAATGGAAAAATGGTGGTAGATATATATTGTATCATTTAAAAATAGATAGGCTTTTGATGAAGGGCAAAAGAGATGTCAGGACATTAATATAATTGACTAAAAATTTTGTACATATTCCAGTTTCTCATGCACTCAGATACTTTCAGTTATTGCTTGTATGTTTAGGCTGATAGAGTACTAACTGTAAGGGAAATTAATTGTTCATAAAGGAGATGACAATTTATCATAGTGGGGGAAATTTAAATTTAAATTACTTAAATTTAGATTTTCCCCATGTAACTATGATCCTTTAATTCAGTAATTTAAGTTTTAGGCCTGTGACGGTTACACACAGTGCTTCTAATTATATGTGTCTTGCATATTTATTTGGACATATGTACATGTCTGCCTTTGTCTCTTTATGGGAAGAATTTGGTACATATCTTTAGGCCACAGGCTTCAAACCATACATTGACCAGGTATGAGGTACCTCAGCAGGACTGGAGCATAAACACATAGCACTGGCTGAGCCCTTTATAGAGCTGCTATTATCTGTAAGTGAGAATGTCTGGAAATTTCTTCTGCTGTGATTTAAGAACAAAAATAATTCTAAGAAATGAGGTAATTTGTCTGGGAGCAAAATATATCTCTTATTTAGTGTGTGGATTATATTATTGTTTCCGCTGTAAAGTATGTGGTAGGGAAAAGAGGGACAGATATCTTAAATGGTGCTGTCTCTTTATACTTCATGTGTAAAGATTGTGATGAAGCACCTCTCTAAGGTAATCCTGGGCAAACTTCAAACTTTTTACATAGATTAGTGTTGTTTGTTTGTTTGGGGGTTTGTTTGTTTTGGGGGGGGGGTTTGTTGGGTTTTTTTTTTGTTTGTTTTTGTTGGTTGGTTGGGTTTTTTTTTCTTTTTGGTTTTCATAGTAGTTATACTGACCAGTCTTGATAAGGGTCTTACTTAATTCTCAATTAGCTACCAATTCTTTGTGGTAAAAATCTATGAGAAGCTTTGGTGTTTGAGCTGGTACATGTGGGTTTGGATTTTGGGGGTTTTTTTGTGCTTTTTCTTTTCTACTGTAGAGTTTTTAAGAGGCTCTTTGATACCTTTTGTTCTTCTTGTTCGTGAATTTATGCAACTCCCATTACCATCTTACCCATTTGATTTATTGAAAAAAAGTTTTTAAAAAATATTTTGGATGACATTGAATGAGCAATTTCCATTTGCCTAGCCAGCTGGTATAGTAGCACTCCTGTCTAATTTCTGAACGTATATAAAGTGTTGCTATGTCTTGTGACCATAGAATTCAGTTAACTTCTAAAAACCTAGAAATAAGTCTATGGTTAGCTGTTGTGTGTGATACTACGTTGCTGTGAAAGCACCAAGAAATTCATCCTGACTATTATCCTTGAGAGCAAGGGAGAAAAAAATGGTACGTGTCAGTTATTAGTCAACTAAAGATCTCTAAAGTTTGACTAACCAGTTAAACTCTTATCATTAAGATCATGGATGTGATGCTGTCTGTTCATAATGTCTGTTACTAAAAAAAATTTCTATTAATAGTCTAATGATAATCCATAATTATATCTTTTCTAAGACAAGGAATGATGCTGAACCTTAATCACTTGCTTATTGCTTATACTGCAGTAGCACCCAAATGGAGTTGATCACTGAAATTTATACATAGAATACATGCCTTGTTGCCCTAACCTGCTGCAATCCTGGGATTGAATTACTCTCTCACTGACTTCAATATGCCTTGAAAAAAGGCTCTGTAAAAGGTTCTGTTCCTGCAAGCATGCACAGGGAAGTAGACAACAAAGTTTGCAATTGAAGTTGGGGTTTTGGATTGGTGAATATTCTAAAAGAGTTTTTATTGATATTGTGCCAGATTTTGTTACAACTTGCAACATAGTAGCTTTGCTAGGACACATTACTACATTTTTTTGAGACATTCATATATGAGGATACTTAAAATTATATATAAGGTGACAAGGACTGTTTTTCCATTTCATGTACAACCCATTGCATGGACTGAAATTCAGGACAAACTTTAAACTTACTCAAAAACTAACTCTCTTTTTTGAGTCAGTTTATTCTACCATATCTTGTCTGTGACTTGTGTGCCTTAAGCTCTACTTTGGATTGGTTCTGAAGCAAAGCTAGTAAATCATGTAACCATACTAGCTATAAGTTATTAGAAATATAGTTGTCATCTTTGTTTGCATCCATTTTTATTTGTTTCTGTCTTACTAATGCTATCATGTTTAAATGGTGCAAAAAAATGCAGAAATGCATTTTGTTTGGAAGTTAGCCTCCTTTTTCTTTAACATTTAACCCTAATTTCTCTAATGTGTTCTTTTTTTTATTTTCCCATTAGAGTGACCTCAGTTCTGTGGTAATTTTTATTTATTTTTTTATAAATATGTATGCTTTTTTAATTGCTTAACTGTCTCTGTGCTTGTTATTGACATTCTTTACAAACATAATGGAAAAGCAATGTTTGTTCTGCATATCATAAAGGGATGTGTTCTCATCTTTATACGTGCAGCTAATCATTAAATGGTTAGCTCTTTCTTTGATACCCATTGTTGAAACTAGAACTTCATATCTACAGATTCTTGTGGGGGTCCTCCCAATAAAATACCTCAACAAAATTTTATTATATCTGTTATTTGAAAAGAGAATTTATTTCCTTCTAAAATTTTTCTGGTTTTGACCCATGGAAATGTAGGTTTCACTGCAGCACTGCTTGTGTAAGCTGTGACAGAACTTTTCACATCTGTTGGTGGAGACAGTGGGTTTGAGGAGAGAGCAGCAGTTGGATGTTCTTCCTTTGGCGAGCTGTAACTGCACTTCATAATTTTAACTGCATGTAACAGTTGATTGAGTTACTATGTAACTTCTGCAGTCTGATTTCACTTTAAGGCGTGCCTTGTACTAAGATAAACTGCATATTTTGACAAGTTTTTTTTTTTTTTTTAATATGTAATACTAAACCAAATTAAGAATAACACAAAACTAACTTGCTTTTTCATTATGCTGCTTGTTTTTTCTTTTCCCCTTCAAATTAGCTTTTTTAAACTTCTGCCTATGGTTGCTGTTTTGAAAACTACTAAAATTTGGGTAAATGGAAACTTTGAGCAATGGATTTATGGGATATAAATGGTGTCAATTCAAGTGGCAGTCAGGTGGTAGTAGTAATGATTACTGAGAGCCATGTTTCAGTTTGGGTTATTTCCAGTTCCTACAAGCATGTAGTGTCTCTGTAACCTGTTGAGGTTGCACAGTTTTCATTACTATATAGATGCTGCTTTGTATGTAATGTGTTTATAAGGCAATACAAAAAGTTACACAACCATTCTGTGTGTCTCCTTCTAACACAATTTTTTGAGACTAAGCATATTCCGGCAATTTTGTCCCACTTTTATTTTGTAATTTACAAGTAGCACTCCATTTGTATAAAGAATCATTTATTTACACTGATCAAAAAGAAACTGTAAGTTTTGTTCCACCTTCCCCACAAAGTACTTTCTTAAAATTTATCATAACAAAATACTCAAACTGCTTCAATCTGAATCTGTAGAGTAGACTATTTCAGTTGGAAGGGACCTACAAGAATCACTTAATCCAATGGCCTGAATCAGTGACTGCTATAAATGCAAATTTAGTATCCCCCTTTTTTTAACTGGCACTTCTTTAATTGTGGTTTTCACATTTCTTGGGACTCATATCTAATAGACTGAGTCTTCCGTAATTATTCTATCCTGAGATTTTAGTCATGGAAATGGTGACTTTATTGGTCTGCAATTGCACAAAAGAAATTAGGCAAAAACTTCTTTAGTCCCATGGTTTTAATCCTCTGAAGTTTAGCAGTCTATAGCTTTCATTTTTGTACTAGAATTGGTCCTTCAATACCACATTGAGGGCTTAGCTTCAGATGTTCTGAAGGTAGAGCACCAGTTAAACTGTTGGATGCATACTATATTCTTTGGCATGATGCAGCTGAGTGAGAGAAGGGGCTAGATCTTGCATTTTAGCTAGAATGCTAGTATTTAATAATAAAAGCTCAGAGCATGTACCTGAGCTATTTTACTTCAGTTAAAGAAAAACACACACATTAATTTTGTTATACAGCTTGATGCACTAGTGATCTGGCTTGGCATGTTCTTGTGCACTGCAATTCCTTACAATTTATTCAATTTTTAAAATAATTTGGATAAAAAGTTTGAGTTGCTATTAAATTGATGAAAGTCTTGCGAAGTGGTGATTTAATGCATTACAAAAAAGCAATAGCTAGAACACAGCAAAATTATCCCACATCCATTGTTTGGCAAGATATCTGTTGACTAACACTTTTGCTCCTATTGTTACTGGGATTAAGGTTTTTTCTTGCATTAATTGATTTGATTTGCAGGCATGAACTAAACGTGTGACTTTTTTTAACAATAGGACGCCTACTCTTTTTAATAACACTAATCATATTTTCATGAACTTGAACTTTTGATTTTTTTCAGACAGATGAAGTGTTTCTGGAAGCTCAAATTCAGAATATCACTACCTCTCCAATGTTTATGGAGAAGGTTTCTTTAGAGCCATCTATGATGTACAATGTTGCAGAACTGAACACAGTTGACACAGCAGGGGAAAGGTATGTTTACATTCAGGACAGTTGACTTTGAAATGCTTCGTATTAATATTTCAGGATATACAAGTATTAGTCAGTCATTTGTCATAATGGGAGGATTGTATGTCTTTGCTTGCATAAAAAAATCAAAATCCGATTCTGTGTTCAACTGGAAAATTTGTTAGAGTTTTCTTCGTATAGAAACTATTCTTAAAAATCTATAATTCTGCCTAATAGAGAAATATCCAGCCTAATTCTCAAATAATTTGTATACAATGATGACATGCTAACATGAACACATACTATTCTTTCAATATTTCCTATATAAAATTTAAGATTTAAGATCTGGTTTTCACCTGACCTCTGTGTACATACTTAGCCTTATGGGATTCTTGCTTCCTATCAGTAAACTGCTTACTGCTCTCAGTTGTTCTAATCATGACATATCAAGACACCAGTCAAGGTGGATCAGTGGTACACCCTCATGGAGTTTCACGATGAAACAAAATAAATTTAATTTAGTTAAACACCTAATACCATAATAACTGACTACAGTGGATACAAGATCTTGTGAACTTAACTTTGGTTGGTGCTTTGCAGTTGCTTGGGTTTTTGGAGATGATGGTTCAGTCGGGGCTGAAGTGAAAATTCTGTCTTCTCCTTGCCTGTTGAAGGATACACCTGCAGCATAATGAAGCTTTGTTTTACCAAGTGTCTGCATCCACTGTAATGGTTTTTCTCCTGAACAGGAATCTTAGTTTCATGACACTGAGCTTTGCTGTGCAGGAAAACAAAGAGCAGAAGAAAAATTACCAGCATTTTTGTTTAAATGATAAGATGGTAGATAATTAGTTATAATGTAGCAGAGAGAATTTCTATGTTATTTCTCTCTGCTGAGAAAAACAGGTTCTTTTATTTCACCATGGTCCTTGGTGCTAACTAAATTCTAGAGGTCTTTTCTGTTGTGAAAACAAAAAATATTCTATGTGTTTTACCATAGTCAAACTTGTCAAACTATGCATACTCATACAATAGGACTTGTGGGGGATGGGGGAAAAAACTTTGGTTCTTAATCTTCAAAACAGCTGTTTAAATTAAGACCTAGTGGTTTTTTTCCTTTCAGTGAGTCTACTTTTGGCGCAAGGACTTATTTGCAACCTATGGATACACGTCAATACTTGTACTGTCTAAAACCAAAGCAAGAATTTGCAGAGAAAGCTGGAGTAATAAAAGGTGTAACAGTGATTGGTAAATTAGACATTGTATGGAAAACTAATCTGGGTGAACGAGGAAGGCTGCAAACTAGCCAGCTCCAAAGAATGGTAAGTTTAACTTAAGTATTAATTTAACTTGGCATTCGTTTTTAAGGAAACTCAATGAACAATTTTAATAATGACTTGGAAAAGTGCAAGCTGCTTACTTTCTGAGCCTCGTTTTTTATTCACACTTTTCTGTATGTATTAGAGAGTTATTTAATATATTTCTTCAGTGGAATGTGGATAAGTTAATAGAGTGAGCACTTCAATTGTCAGAATCCAGTAATCAGTATTGCAAAATACATTTGTTAGAGTAAAATTAACTGCTTGGATACTATTTGGCAGCAAATGACAAAAGAACCTCTTTAAATGTGCCAACTCCTGATATGGAAGCTGCTTCCAAGTCCATACAGATATTTTAGCTTGGAGTAACATTTTTTTATGCATAATATTATTTATCTTTCATGTCCACAGTTTTTATAGAGTCTGTACTGTTCTAGATGATTTATAAATTTTTCTTGGATTTTGAGTTGTAATTATTATCTTCCTTAAGTCAGCTCCACAGCCATCTAATGCCTAAACCTAGTTTGCATCTTCTCACTTAAGGATGGTGAGAAAGATACAGAAGGGTAGTTAAAAAAACTTTGACAGTTGAATCTCAGTCTAAGTTTGAGGAGCTTATAATTGGGTCTCTGCCTCTGTCTTTGCCCCCGTCCCCACCTGCTAGTACATTGAGCAGTTCTGTAGGCAAGTCACACTGACTTGGAACTAGGCAAGCAAACTTTTATCCTGGAAATTCACAAGAAAGTCACTAAATTACAGAAATGTATCTAGATTTTTAATTGAGGTGTTGAGTGTGTGCATAAACACGTGAAATTAGAAATTGCCATTTTCCTAAACTTAGTTCCTCCTCTTAATTTTAAACTTGTTGCTTATTTTTAACAATAAATGGTTTCATTTTCAATTGACCTTTTCTCTCATTTCTTTTCCCTCCCCAAATCAATATTGTCTCATTCTGCATCTCTTTTATTTGAACCTTTGAGAATTGCATGTGAAGCACATACTTCAACACTCTAGGATTAGTTTTGATTATGCATCTTTTTGTGCCTTGTGATTAACAGAAAAACACTATTTTGTGTACTTAGAGCAACATCTGTCTTTAGAAGAGCAGCAGGTAGTTGTTTTTTTTCCCCTTCTGTGTTCTAGTTTAACTCCCTCTTCTCTCCCCTCATTTTTAAGTGCTATCAGATTATTTGATTTCTAGACTTCACTGTGCGTAATTTTCCTCTTAATCCATTTGCCAGCACTATAATCATTGTTTCCCACCCAGGCCCAGAATTTTAGCTCTGCTATTACCTATTTAGTAAGTGTTGTGGTTTGGAATGGGAGGAAAATTAAGGGAAGTGACCTAGTTGCAGGTCAGATGAGAAATGCACCTTTGAAACAAGTATCCACATACCATAAATTTGTAGGTTTGGTTGGTTTTTTTGGTTTTTTTTTTGGGATTGTTTTTTTATTTGTTTCTTTGAATGTGGCTTGGTCTTGGAATTCACAAGTACAGTCTCTTTGGGAGACAATGAACAAGGCAGGTGACCACAATATGCCAAAAGTATCGTGTGACTTTCTAACTGATGACAGTTAATTATTTTGGCAGAGGCACAGAGGACCGACATGGCAGTTTCTCTTGTTTCTTCTCTTGTTTCTTAGTGGTGGGTTTAAGCAGGGAAGTTTTACTGGTGGTATCCACACAGTATCTGCCTACCTTAGACTAAAGGTCTTAGATTAAAGCTGATATTCTCAGGAACTGTATATGGCTATTCAAACTTTATGGATTTAAACTCTCCTGAAAATGTAATTATAAAGATCATCCTTATCTGATCAATTGTTAAACCTGTGAAGAAGGTGTTCATCAGTTGGAGAGCTGCTGTGATTTCCATACTAATCAAAAGTACATTCAGTCTTGTTTCTTCAGATTTCTCTTATTCCATGCTTCTTTCAGGAAATCAAAACTTTAGTAAAAACTTCAATTTCCCTGTCCAGCATCTGAGAATACACATTCTTTTTCCCTCCCAGGCTCCTGGTTATGGTGATGTAAGGCTTTCATTGGAGACAATACCAGATACTGTAAATTTGGAAGAACCTTTTGACATTACATGTAAAATAACAAATTGCAGGTAATAATGTCATGTGATTCTCCTACTTTTTCCTGAGTGGGTGAGTTGTGGCTGGTTTTATGTTTCAGTACTTCCTCCTGAAACTACTTAAACCTGGTCTTTATTATGATTTGGGGCAACACGAAACTACTTGAAACACAGAGACTAAAAACTCCAAGGAAACAACTACACTAAAAAACTTATATAATGGTCTGTTAATATGGTACTTAACTAGGACATAGACAAAATTCTGTAGAGAAATTACATTAATCTGTCTGCAACATTATTTATGATTGTACCTCATGCTTAAATCACAACTCATTTTACGGTTGCAAGACTGACATTTAAATAAAGTAATTCTAAATGGAAGTTGAGCCCAGAGACTAAAGCATGTATCTGGCTGCAGATGCTTGTCATGAGAAGCTTGTAGTCCATCCAAGTATTATGTTATCCAGTATTGCTAAGCCGATGGCAGGATGCTTGTGTCAAAAAGAGCTGTCTGCAGCTAAATTACTGTGCATCACAATAAATACTGCTTGCTACATTATAACTGTTTATGAATGTTGATTAATAATAACCTGAATAATAATCAAGCTTTTAGATATTTGCAGTCTTTGAATGCTTAAAAAAACCCACAGGTTTATTCTTGTTTCTTGATTTCCTCTAGCAGTGAAAGGACTATGGATCTGGTTTTAGAAATGTGCAATACTAATTCCATCCACTGGTGTGGAGTTTCAGGAAGGCAACTTGGGAAGCTGCACCCAAGTTCATCACTCCATCTTGCACTTACATTGTTGTCTTCAGTGCAGGGATTGCAGGTAAGTTATTAGCACAGTTTTGTTGTAAAACGGCTGTTTTATAATATTAACAGTTCTTTCTAATAACAACTCATAAATATTTTCCCCTTCTAGAGTGTCTCCGGCCTAAGACTCACAGACACATTTTTGAAGAGAACATACGAGTATGATGATATTGCACAAGTCTGTGTAGTTTCTTCAGAAAACAAGCAAAGCTGAAGAAAAAAATGTGTAGTTTTAGTGGGGTTTTTTTTGACCAACTTCTTGATGTTTTTGCAGTCAATTGTTCTAAAATGAGTACAAACAAAATCAAATCCCTATATAGCTGTAAATGTGATAATAATTATTTAATTTCTCTGAGCATTTCTTGAATGTTTTAAAATATTTTAAAACATGCATATGCATTTTATCTACTAAAAATAAAACCTTTGAAAAAAGTGTAGTTCTAGCAAATTATATTGCATTTACATCATCTCAAGACAGGAGGATGAGATTGATAAGAAATATTAGCATTTTGTGCTTATTTTTCTTATTTTAATTTTTTTTAAGTATTAAAAGTAAAGTATTAAAATCATGGCTCTGACAAGACTACTTCAGTTCAAAAGAACTGACCTTTTACAGACAAGTTTCTAGAATCCAAATCCAAAAAAAAAAAGTATTGGGCACCTGGCATGGCAGTGTGTTTGCATGGTACATGTCTAGCCATAGGAAATAAAACCTGATAAAGGCATGAGATGAGAGAGTGCAGCTGGCACTGTTAGAGGCACTTGGAGCTAGGAATTGAAGTATAAGCAAAGACAGTGTTGGTTGTGGCTCACTCTTTGAGGAGGAAGCAATACAGCAAATCTGTCCCAATTATCTGCTGTCATGAGCAGAGTTGTGCATCCCGCAATAGAGGACATGTTGTTAACAGGCATGTTACTTTCCAAGTAGTAGGGAACTGAAAACTAAAATAGCAGAACTCACGTAGTTTCTTATTTTTAAAAGAAGGTGGCGCCAATTGTTCTTCCCATCCCAGAGTCAATTAAATAGATTTTTAAAGGAAAAAAAAAAAAGGAAAAAAACCACCCTGCATTGCTGCCTTAGATCAAGTTCTCTAAAGCATATACAGGAGGAAGTTTTGGGCCTGGTCAAGCACTACAATCTGCTTTTCCCTAGCTTTGTTTTGACAAAAACAGAAAATGTTTTTGGCTGAAATATCTATGGTTACCCAGAGGTAGCCATTTTGTAGATAAAATGGCAACTGTCTTTCCTAGTTTAACACTAGTTAAACTAGTGTTAAAGACTAATCAGCAGCTTGTATTTCTCAACTACCATGTTGTCACTTAGCAACTTTATAGTTAGTTTTGACACTATTTTACTTGAGCTTCCCAAGTATAAATCTTAAGAGTATTATTCAGTGTTAAAATACTGGATAAATTGTGATCCAGCTTTGTATATTGAGAAACTATGTCCATACAGGAAACAATAAATTAGAAATTTATCCTGCCTATGTGATAAAATCCAACCAACATGAACAGGTATATAAAGAATGCAATTTATCTGTTACTTGAGATACAGAAAAAAGTAAACCAGAAAACCACAACTATACAGACAAAAAAGTATATCACTTTATTTATAATATATCTTTGAGTTAAACGACACAAACTGAAGGAGATGTAACCACATGGCAGTAAGAGGTAGGAGAGATACAGAAATAGTAGACAAGTTGCATTATGCCAGTATGACTTTCTGTTGCCATAAAACAATCTACTCGAAGTTACAGAGCTAGTTCTATCTCAGTATGCATGAGTGATTTTACTTTGCACTTGTTACAAAACCAAGAGTGCAACTGAAACAATTTCTAAGCTGAATATTTCTTTAAGTGTCTTTATGATCATAGTTAGAAGAATATACTCCCATGCAAGCAGGTTACAGGAGTTCACAACTGATTGCAAAATACTTTGTTCTCTAACAAATTATTGTACTTACACACTAATGGAACAGTAATGATACAAAACCAATTAGGTGTAAATGCAGATTTGCTCAGTTGAATGATAAACTGCAATTGATCTTAAATTAAAGCAATATTTACAGGGATGGTGGTTTACCACTTTATCTAGCAAGATGAAAAATTGTAGCACAAGATACAGTGCAGTTACTACACGGGAAAAGATTCCTTCCACACCCTGTGATTAAGACATGTTGCGTGACTGAAACAATCTAGGCAATTCAAAGAAAAGCAGACTTTAGCATAAATGATCTCTCTGTTCATGGTTTCAGTGGAAAAGCATGTAATGACAGCTCCTGTTACTGGTTTCACTGTTTTTTGTTTAGGCTATAAAGCCCTTTCTGTTAATACATAAGAAATAGAGAATGTTTACTAGTAAAGTATTGTGCCAGTCAGTTGTAGCACGTTCCTGAAGGCTTAGCTAATGCTGTTAACATTTTAATATATACTCTGTATTATCTGAAGTAAAACCTAAACACAAAAATATTGTAGCATGTGAAGTGAAAGTTACAATTCCATGAAGATGACTTCAAGAGTAGTTTTCAGGTAACTAACCCAATGCTTCATTCCATTTAACCTTGGGGATTGTTCTCCCATAAATCCAATAAGCTATAGAGCTTGTATTTAACAGTACAAGTACACAACTTCTTCTGCTCTTTCTGGATCTTAACATACTTTGTCGTTCTTAAGGAACTCTCATTAAATTCTTGACACTCTGTTTCAAAGCAGAAAAGTAACTGCATGAGGATTGCTCTTGCAAAGTGAGAATAATTTGAGTTTGTACAGAGATATTGGCAGAGCTGCCCACTCCACCATGGATTTTTTTGGTTCCCCCTATCTGAGTTAGTGAAACACACTTTGGGCAGTTGAAGATAAGAAAGAGAATTAAAAGGAACTGTGAAGTTTAACATACTAGGTACAATGCTTCTCTCCTGACACAACACACTATTCCAAGTAATACATGTACGCTTTTTGTAGCCCACCCAGAGCCTCCATAAAGCTTCCTTCTAAATGGAAGTCCTGTCCTACACAGTGTAATTAAACTTAATTAAGCTTCCTTGAATGAATAATGTTCAGGATCTGAGCTACCTCTGACAAAAGATCCCTTTAGGGATTCTCTTTCTTGTCATCAGATGTTGAGTCAGAAGCTGTTACTTGAAATGTATTTAATGTAAAGCTTAAGTATCTCTACAACCTGAAGAAAGCAGCTACACCAACTTAAAGTGAGAATTTTCAAAAGCATTTTAATGCTGTACATAGGCAAGCTATTCAAATAAAGTATGAAATGTCTTAAACTTGTTCATGTATTAAGTGTAATTTACCTCTTTATTCAACAGATGGTAATATGGATTTCCTAGATTTGTGTTTTCTCTAATTCCTTTCATTTCTCCTTGGATCAGCATTTTTCTGTCTGGTTTAGTAGGGTAAGATTCATACCGTAGATGTACAACAATAATTTGTTAGAATCAAGTATATTACTTAGCCCCAAATTTTTTATTTGCTTCTGCTGGAGGAGCTCTTTTATGACCACAGGGTCAATTGGATATAAAGTCTGAGGTTCAGGAGTTTCTGTGTATTTCTCCATATGGGAGGCTATTGTTACTCCTCCAGACTAACTGGCCATGAGAGATCACTTTGCCTAAAAATTCAAAGCAGGCTCCTCGAATTACTTTAGATATAGGAAGAGGAAAGTGTGTTGAGAAGGTCCCTGGGCTAAAAACAAGCGTTCTTTATATCACAAAGCAGTGTGAACAGTAAACAGAGTAAAAAAAGTTAACATACTAGACATACAGAAGAGCAGCAGTCTTGCAAGAGTGATATTAACTGAGCAAGAAACAAATACTATAGAGTCGAAAAATCTTTAGCTTGACTATATAACCATCTCTTAGATAGATATATATGTAATTAAAAAAAATCCCCAGTTGTTTAAGCCAGTGATTTATCACACAAGGATAGAAAAAGAATCCTTCTAAGGCAGTTCATTTTTAAAATTTTCAGTACTAGTTATTTGTACAGTCACAGGCTCAGTTTTAGCTTATTACAGTTAAGAATTTTACATTGATATTAAATACTGCATACATACGGAATGTAATACAGCTTGCCATGCCTAGGAACATAGAGCCATAATTCTGACCTCCAGGGCTACTATCATGATGTGAGGGTATACATGGCAGTAGAAAACTCTACAACTTTTCTTTCCCGAGCCAAGTTCCATTTTGATTTCTGTGCATTATCCTACACAGAATTGTTTTTTCTTTCTCTACAATGTGTGCTACTCCTTCGTACGCATCCATCTCCCTCTTTTCTGTTCAATGAAGTTGAAAAGTATTTCCTGTTACTCATGAAGGCCCCTCCACAGGATTAAAGAAATAGACTTCTCAAGCATGAGTTTTAAGTACTCTCTATACCAACACTACTTAATGCTCATTATAAAAGGGCACATCAGATGGGCTATTGTTTCAATATTTCAGTGTTTCAATACTGTTTAAAGGAGTACAGCCATCATGATCCTTACCATATCAGTAACACATCTTTTGCCCTATCATTTTAGAAGTAGCTATTAGGCAAGATCAGCACACTACAAAACTCCCCACTCAGTAGCCCTGGAGGTCAATCTGATGCACATACTGAAATGACTTGGACTTGGGGATTTTGATAAACCACCTATTCAGTGTATTGATTTTCAGAGGAGTAACTATACATAAACGCTATGTTCCAAGTTATGTGCAAGAGGTCTGTTTACCAGATTTATTCTTGTTTGCAAACACACACAAAGAATTTTCTGTCTTCTATTCAAGCAGAAGAGTTACAATGGTGCTTTTGCTACTAACTATGGTATGCATTTTGGGGTTATACATCATTCCAATTCATGTGACTCATTGAAGTCAGGAATGTTCTTCAGTGCTGCCACTCAAATATCGGCTCCGGATATGATTTCTCAGTTGCTCTATGAGCTCAGGATTCTGCTGCTGTATCTGCTGTGCAAACTGCTGCCCCCTGTGTTGAACAGTTTTAAGTGAGCTCAGCAAGTGAAAGGAGCATTTGTAAGAAAACAGGATATCCCAATACAGCTGAAAGGTGCATTACGTTAAAATTAAGATTAAAGATACCTTGATTTACAGTCTTAAGGTATTTGCAGTATTATGAATTTATCTGGTTAAAGTGTCTCCAAACAGGATCATTGTCATAAATTTATTTTCATTCTTTAGTACTATTACTTCTACTTGGAGGAGAAAAGTATCACCTTACAAAATATATTACCTTTTATGGTAAAATAACACATCTGCTCCAGTGATTTATTCCCTTTTTGACAGGATCCACTCTAACTGTTTAAAGTAACTACTCTTAGAGTTGGCATGCAACCTTATGTTAATGGTTCCAGAAATACAGCATGCAGCTGCTGACTTGTACTTGTGAACAAGATGTCATTAATTGAAAGCCAAGCATACTAT